TATTAGGGGTGTACAAAAAAGGGAAAAATCTTGAAAAATTCAATGGACTTTAGTGTTTGGAATGATTAAGTCATTAGACAATTTTTTAGAACAAATAAGTCATTGAACATTCCAAAACATGTTAAATAATTCATTGGACTTTCTAAAACCTGTTAGATACATTCTTATGACTTATACAACTGGTTAATGTGGTAAAATAATGGAAAAAATATGAAAAAAACCAATAGATATTCACATTTTGAACGATTAAGTCCCTAAACATTTCTTGAACCAAAAGAGTATTTAGATCTATAAAATGAAACAAATATATCAAAAAAGTACTTACATTTACAAATAGAACAATGTCTTCATTAACGAGACTTGTGATCACGTTAGACCAACGTGTTTTCATAAGACCACATTTTTACACTTGAAATTTCACAACAAAACATTGTGAAGGTAACCTCCACAGTGTTTTTGCTATGAAGGTTCAATTTTTTTTACCTTTACAATGTTTTCTTCTGAAGTTTCAAGTGTAAAAAATGGTCTCATGAAAACAGTCTCGTCTTACGTGAACCCAACCCACATTAATAAATATCATGACACAATGTTCAAACAGAATCATCAAATAACTGGCTTTTGGGCATATACACTAACACTCTCGTGCTTCAATTTCCGACTTTGTCGATTAAGGTTGTTTTCTTGAAACACCTTATGGTTGTTTTATTTTGTCCTTATTACATATGCTTCGGATATGGGCTTAAAGGGTTTCACAGTTACTTTTCTTTTACTATCTATGTATTTTATTGTTTATTGTTTCTGTTGAAACCCTACACCTACTGATTAGTCTAGTGAAAGATCCTGAAACATAAGAAAGCTTGGATAGCTAACCTGCCTTGAGCTTTTGACTGACCTTGGACTATTGGGCATAACCACAAACAACATACCATAGATGATGTACTAGCATACAAGACAAGTTTCAACAAGTTTTTAGAATCATCAATCTTATAATCAAAATCCCATGTTGGTTACAGATTGAGGTCTTATTATTGTTTTAGAGATAAGAGAGTATTTAAGATTCATACATTTAATTATATAATAAAGAGCCAATAATGTATGAACAAATAATGATAGTTTTGGAAATGTGTTTTTAACATAAAAGAATAAGGTTTCTTTTCTATTATTATCAGGTAATCTCTAAAATGGCGTTTGGTTTGCAGATTTTGAAGAAATCTGATGGAATAAGAATATTGAATTCTTTAAACCAAATTTCATTCCTTAGTTTGGTTAATTTTTTGTTAAACAATGAATCTTCAAAATCCACTAAATTCTACAAACAAACGATTTTAACATTCGTTCACAATAAGTTGAGATTTTGATTGAATGTGATTTATATTTTCATAATTCAAAATATACCCTTTAATCTAAATAGAAAAGTACTCGGACAATGCAGCGAAACAAATCTCGATTTTAATGTTTTATTTTATTATTTGTCTATGTTGATGTTATAATACGATTTTATGTGTTTTTAAAAAAAATAATAATGATTTTATTCTTGAATAAAATATAAATTTGAAAAAAAAAATATCAATGTTAATATCAAATCAACTATTTAAAAGTTTTCATTTTTTATGTAATTTATTTATAAAAAAATTATTATAATTTAATTTAAGTTTAATAATGAAATAATTTATTTTTGGTTTAATAATATAACATTTTGTAAAAATAATAATTAAGTATTTTGTTAGAACTCAATGATTATCCTAATTATATTTTAGATTTTGTATATTTAAAATGAGATATTTATCATGTATTTGATTATGTTTATATGCAGTTAGTTACACGAATTCAAATATAGAGCTTTAATAAGTTGTACTTACGCACAATTTACTTGTAATCTTGAGTTTTAAGTAATATGCATTAATAAACAGTAATTTACTCATAAAAAATGGTTTTTAAGAGTTTTTGTCAAATGTTTTATAATATAGTATAGATATAACCTAATTAATTTAATTTAATTTAATACTTTTGCTTTCTATTTTATTTTTTGTTTTATTTAATTTAATTTAAAACTCTGTTTTTTATTTTATTTTTTCAATATATATTTTTATTCGACTAACAACATATTTAATTTAATTTAATATTTTTGTTTTCTATTTTATTTTTTTGAAGTATATTTTAATGAAATTTGTCTGAATACATATTCAATATAATAGTTAACTTTTTTAATTAATATAATAATCATTGAATTATATCTATTATGTTACATGATGAAAAATTAACTATTTGGAAAAAAATTAATTTAGTAACATCGTTTAATTTATGGTTATGTTTAGGTTGTATATTTTATATTGTTTATATATTAAATGATTATTTTATTAAAGTATTTTTAGTATTAAAAAAATTAAAACTTAAAAAAAAAGGGCCATAGCCACAACACAACCCACAATAATCAATAGTTCTTCCACTTAGTTCTTAGATGGATTACTGGATCTGGCCAACCATTTTTGGGCTAAATATTCTATCTAGAATCATGTTTGGGCCCCCATTTCACTTGGGCCACACTTGTTGCCTACGCTTTCATTCAATGAGGACATTGAAACCCTCTAGATAGGAGGAAGATCCTTAAGCACTCGTGATACACCCTACATACACTCAAACATTGTGAAACACATGTAAAATATGCACATTGACCAAAAATAAAGAACAAAGTTCTAGGTCTATTGCACACAGGAGTGCCAGAGTGCACCAAAGTTTGAAAAGGATCAACGTGTCCAAATTTGTACCTCAATATGAAAAGCATGGTGCTAAAATTGCACCATGGAGTGAAAGTGAGAAGAGGTAAAAAGCAAATGCATTGAAAAGAAAAGGCCAAATGCAAAAACTCTCTCTAAGTCCCATACTTTTGATGAATCTAGTTAGGTTGTCTCTTCGTTTGGCACATTTAAGAATTCAAGTTTAGGGGAGCTATGAAGGGCTATGCAGATCATTTGTCTAAGTAGGAAAAGAGTATTTCTTTCAAGAAAATAAGAACATCACACATTGGCTAAGTTTGGTGAACAAGTTTAAAACTTTTAGGTTGATAGTCACTTGAGTCTTTATTTTGTCATTTTGGTTGTTTGGGGACTAGTAACAATTTAGGTTTAGGGGTATGATATGTGTTAATTTATCAACCCTATTACATCTATTTTCTTACTCTTTTATGTTATTTCATTTGCCTAACATGTCCAGTTGAGTCTCTTTTATATTAGTTTTATAGTATTTAGTGTTTTTGTGAAGTATTAGAAATATAGTATAAATCTGATCTAAATTGTGCTTTGAAATCAACTTTTGCAGATCTGGATAATTATACAGCTTCCTGGAGGAGTCATTGGCTACTGATTCAAAGTTGTAGCAGTACTGTAGGACCAAACAATGGGCTTACGAAGACCTTTTGGGCTGAATCTAGGCCGAATTAACTTGCAGTCGGGCTTTAATTGTTTTAGGCCATACACTAAGGGCTTATGTCATCTTGTACTTTTGTTACTTAGAGTTAGAGCCCAAGGTTAAATTACTAGTATAAATATGTGTGCTTTGTAAATTTAGAAAACACTTAACCTTTTGGTTATCACTCTTCCAGCTCTCTAGATTTTATTTCTTAAGTATTTTGTGATCTAAGTTCAGTTTGCAAGTTATTAATCGAAATTTGTTTGTTTAAAGAATCATTTTCTACTTCATCTTAATTTATTTCCAAGTTTACTTTAATTTTCGATAATCGTTTGGAGCTAATTTATTCCCAATGCAATACATAAGATTTTTATAATCTTTTGTGGCTCGAGATTAGTTTCCCGTAGTTAAGAAAAACGGGTTTCCAAGTGCTTACTATTAATTCATCTCTTTTTGTAATGAAACTTGTTTTGCAAGTTTCATACCTTGAATAATAAGTTTCCCCTCACTTCACATTATTTCTTTGCAAGTGCTTTTCCCTTTTTTACTTTATGTCGTATACTTCTTAGTACTTTAATTTTTTGCAATTTAATTTTCAATATTTTATTTCCTGCAATTTATTTACTTGTAATTTACTTTTCAATAATTTATTTCCCAGTCATTTAATTTCGTGTTCTTTAATTTATAGTCTTTACATTTCTGCACTTTACATTTTTGTAATTTATTTTTCTGCACTTGTTATTTACTTTTCGGTCGTTATATCATTTGCAAAAAAAAAAAAGAACCAAACGATGACTATTAATCAATCTATCACCAAAATATATTTTAATTTACTGCAAATGTTTATCACATCTATTAACCAGTAATTATCAAACCTTTAACTGGTTATTGATCAAATAAGTGAACATAGTAATGTTTTGGTAATTGACCCTTCAAAAAACAAAGAAAACCCTGCAAACATTGTTCTTCAAATACAAACCCTATCCGTAAAAATAATAAGGGATTGTTTACCAAACACTTATTCGGTAAGTGCTTACAGGTAAAATATAACATTATTATTTACTTACGGTGTAAGATTTTAATCCATCAAAACGACATTGTATGTAACAATTCACCTGATAAGCGCTTACCGTGGTAAGAGTCGTCGCCCTCACTTACCGGGTAAGACTCATGGTCCTTGTCTTGCTTTAACCGGATAAGATTCTTAGTCCTTACCATATTCATCCGGTGAGGTAATGTGACTTAATAAGCGCTTACCCGGGTAAAAGTGTGTTGTAAACGACCCCTAAGTTAAAAAAGAAAAGGTAAAACTCATTGTTCTTGAATAAGATGAACACTTGAATAAAATTCATAAAAACTGAGAACAGAAAAACCCTTGATTAAAAACAAATTATATATATATTAAATCAATTCATGTATTTGACTTAAAATGATTATTCATATTAGTTAATATAATTAAAATTAAATAAAAATAATATGATTAATACGACCATAATAAGAATGTGATTGATAAATCTTTTTCACCAAATTTGTAATCAATAGATACGAAAATACGACATTTTGTTTACTTGTTTTGGCAGGCAGATTTGATCATTTGTAAAATTTTGTGCGATGTGGAAAGTTTTTCAAGTTTACAATTTGCAAATTTCTAAAATGCATTCCAAATAAAATTACATTTTTATGTTTTGACGATAAATATTTACAAACACTTAAATATATACAGTTCTTTAACCGTACGTGTACGGGTCAGCTGGTGCATACCTCGACTAAATAGTCAGGAAAATCCCATGGTGCGTACAAAACATCCAGGAAAATCCACAGTGGCCTACGAGAGAATCGAACCGGTGACCTTTGGGGTTACTTGGGATTTCTCTGTTCGTTTTTGCTAGGAGGGAAGTAATGAGCGATGCTAGAACCTTGTTTCACCATGTTAGCACGCTTTTGAGGCCGCAGCCAAGTACGAACTTCTTCCTGTAGTTCCGGTGGTAACTCATCAACCACAGATTGGTCGATTTCATCCGCCTTGTAACTCCATGTATTTGTGCTCCGTCCGTTTTGACTTCCGGGAAAGCTCTCACTCTCCATAACTAGTGGTTCTTGTACTACTTCCATCAGTATATCAAGTATTAGTTCAAAAACCGAAATGCAAACAACATGAAGAACGAAGTACACCCATGTTGATTGCATAGATTTTAAGCTAAAAATGGAACTTTAAAAGATGAAACTTGATATACCAGACGACAAAGGCTTTGTTTCTTGGAGAGCACTGACGTTATCTTGCTTTGACGTCGAGCAAGAGTTGCTTTGGAGAAATCTTAGGATGGAAGATGTTCCCTGCAACAAGTGGGATCTCGAGATTAATGACAAGTATCGTTGATGAAAGTGGAAAATGCATTAACATGTAACGAAGTTTACCTTAGTTCCCATTTAGTTTAACAAGTATATTTTTTTTCTTAATCAATGTAACAAGAAGTTCCGAAATTTCCTATTCAATATAACAAAGTTTCAATTTTTCTTATTCTGTATCCATTTTGACCCATAACCTGTTGCTCCTGTAACATTTGATGGCGTGAATGTCAAGTTTATCGTCCAGTACGCCGTAACCTTTTCGTAAGCCTTTCATAAGCGGAATTATAAGATCAGCATATCAAAATGGCTATTTGTGTGTCTGAATGAGTGTCTTTTCAGTATAAATGTATTTGTCAATACGGACCCTAACCATGTACACCCTCAAGATGAGTATATTGGAGTAATCCGAAAGTCATTAAAGCACTTTTTGCAACCTAATAATAGTCGCTTTCAGTTTTAAACCACTTTATCGATCCCTAACTAAACTTGCTACTATTGTTCTCATAGTAGCAAAAAGCAACAACCCCAAGACCAGATCAGGATAAATCAAACCTTTTCTTTTGTTGCCTTTCTTTTCTGTCCATATGATCTTATTCCATCACTAGGGTACTTCATCTTCGATTCTTTCCCAGGTAACCTCAGTTGTCGTTCGTTCTGCTTGGGAGTTGAACAGCTTTCAGCTCCTACATAAACATTGCCTCATGATACAAGTACAAAGGCAAAGAGGGAAGACAGCTCAAAATATACAAAAAAGGAACCTGATAATAAGTGGGAAACTTCTCTGGTGATATCACTGCTAGCCTGCTTTCAGAAGAAATATCAAGTATTCATAATGACGTTCTTTAAATAATGAACAAATTCTAGAGTAAAAAGCATTTTGATATGTGAAATCATGAGCTGCACTATGACCATGGTTGGATTGTACGCCAAGATGACTAGCAGATTAAAAAGAGCCATGTACTCAAAACTGAAGGTTTATGCCATATAACATGTGCTAAAAGTACAAGTGTTGACCATGTGGAAATCTGAGGATGCAATAACCATTTGACAGTCTACTTGAACTCAAGGAAAAAACAGATGAATAGAAGCAGGCACAAGAAGTGTCATCAACCACCATGGGTATATAGATAATGAGCTCAAATTATCACAATTAAATCATAAGAAAAAAAAAACACGATTGTTCATATGTCAGATGAGCCAAGTGATAATGAACTCAAATTATCACCCTTAAATCATAAACTTTATACCAAAGATGTTTCAGGTTCTTAGCAAATATTTTTTAAATGGCAAGCAAACTAGCATATTGATGTCTTCAAAGACTTGAACCTATAGAGATCTACTTGTACCATTGGGCCAAAGGCTGATTGATTTTAGGTTTCTTGGTAATAGTTCTAATACATAATAAAGTGACAACTCTAGTTCTAATACATAATAAAGTGACAACTCTAGACAAGGAAATACCAATAAGAGAAACATTTTAGATGAATTTGGGATCTTTCCACAAATGTGAAGTCATGCAATCATTTACATAAATTATCTGATATAATATACATAACCTTCATTTAAAAATCTTATTGCACGGTGTTAAAGAAGACAACCTATATATTGCAAAACTGAATGATGAAAACATATAAATAAAACTAATTCCAACATGCATATGAAATTCATTTCTTTGTTCTTATTTGCACAAGCATGGAGAGTGAATATCATAGCCCATAGTCCAGACATGGAGCTCACCATCACTCTTAATCAACGAAATCTATCTCATGATTCCTCCTGTTATTTTCAGACAAATACAAAGGCAAACAGTGGCTACAACACAACCTGTTTAGCAACTTCTTTTCAAAGCCGAGCTTTGAGACAATTAATTTTGCCAATCAACAAAATTGAACCAAACCAACAATGGCAACTTCCAAGGGGCCATAAAAGAGTACAAGGTTGAGAGATCATAATACTAATGCATATAGCAAACCAGAGATGCGGATAACCTAACACCCAGCATCTTTATTATTATTTGACCCAATGCCTTTATAGTCTTGAGCTTTATAATTGGGAATTTAGAGGATTAGGGGAGAAACTGGGAAGAACAAACCAGAATATGAGGAAAATGGCAAAGAAATTCAAAAACTTGCACCTGGCTACACATGATCTCCTTGAACTAAAAATTTGCACAAATAAATGGCAAACTTCGGAAAGTCATCTTTAACCTTTAAAGTTGTGCTTCTAATAGAACTAGCTCGAAGTAAGACTTCTGATATTCAATTCAAGTCAGCTCTGTTTTAAATTTCATGAACTTAACAAGTTTTTACTCGATAGTAACTTAGTGGTGATTTCACAACAAGAACCAAAAATAAGATACATGCTAAAGTTAGATCTTGAGCACAAGCTCAGAGTTTCTTCGCGCCTGCATACTTAACAAGTCTGTAACATGAATAATGCACTCCATGTTGTACCATTTATATCTTCAAGCTGTATAATCTACAACAGTTGCATCTCTATTCATTAAGAGAATCGTTTCATGCTAAAGACATCAACAGGCTATCTCCGTATGTTAATATCAATATATCATTATGGTAATGCATGGAAGAGTATAAAAAAAACCAGACCTCATCTTTACATGCATTCTCATATTGATCAAAACTGGTAATATCATATGTGACTGGAGCCTCTTCCCCACCACATTCAGTTTGTTGCTCCGTTTGATGAGGGGCTGGATGGCTCTCACTTCCTAATTAAATGCAAAAACTAATTAATATAGTAACAAGCTGGGTGAAATATCTAAACAATCATGAACATATTTAAGAGCCACTATGAGAAAGAATTACTAACTTGATGGTGACAAAAGATCATCTTCGGGTATGAATTTTTCATCTGACAGTTCTGATGAAGAGTGAAACTGATCTCGACACTGGAAGTACCTTGTAATCGAACAGGTTCCCTGCCAAAGAACACCCAACATAATAATGCACGATCCTCCATGTGAAATAGTCATCTTCATTGGAGTTTTTTTTTTTTTTTTGTGGAATTTAACACATGCTAGTGAGTACAAGAGATTGAAGCAATCCTCACTTCCAAAAGTTCAAAAGCAAAATGATCGAAAATGCAGTGCTTCAATTGCAGAAACCAATAAACACGTTAACATGGTGAAACACCTTTGATTAGAACCACTCAATAACAGCACTAACTCCTGCAATTCCAAAAAACTAGACACGTCTGCCTATAAAATTCATTCCAAAACAGCAGTTCAGACTACAGAATGGTTGTGTTTTTTCCTGACCTAGAAAACGTGGCACCCCCAGTCTAGAAGCATCATTCCACATAACATCACCACCTATAAACCTGTGCCTGTGTCTAAAACCTAAAAACAATTGGACGTTTTTGCTCAGCAGCTTTGTCTAGTGTTTCTATTATCCTTGGAAATGCAGTATCAAATTTGTATTCTAAGTAGAAAAAATATGACCAATAGCAGAACAGTCATCTACCAACCATGGACGAAATCAGTTTAAAACTGGATGCTCTCCCATGTCTACAGTCTTAAATGGTTACATTGACCAACAAACAGTTACTATTTCAGAATACTTCCTCTTTCTTATAAGATCTAGAATGTATATACATATATATATATATATATATATATATATGTATATATAGGGATGAGATCAGGGGAGAACCGAAGAACCACCAAAACAAAGATGAAAAAGTACATCAATATGGATTTCAGCTTAAAGAGAATAAAATGATCACTTTTTTGGTGTAATTTTTTTAGCTCCAATTTTGATTATTTTCATCTATTTTAGATTAAAAAATAGAGGGGGAGAGGTTTTTTAATTTATATAAATTATACCACACCGTTAATCACTCCCTTGGATCGATCAATCTAACGGCTTGGATAAGTTCTTCGGTTCTCCTTTTTTGTGTTCTCCCCGGTTCTTCTCTCTCTCTCTCTCTCTCTCTATATATATATATATATATATGTGTGTGTGTGTGTGTGTGCATGTGTGTGTGTGTGTTATATCACCTAGAAAGTTGATAAAACAATATGTTGCTTTCAGTAGTATTTGGGAGGCTCTAGCATCAGGCACCACACCAGTACAACATGCTAAATCGCATTAGAAGTCAGAACACTACAAACAGGAACTTGAGCTTACAGATGGTATAGGAACAATTTTACTGGCTGAAACAGAAAGACCAGTAATTCCCCATCCACCGCACTGGCTTCCTATGTATGCCCCAAGGTATTCACGTAATCCAGCTTGGAAAAGATTTACAGCATCTTCTTGAATCTTTCCTCCCCCATATCTCAAAGGACATGACTTAGAAGGGAACTTTTTGTATGAATCTGTATCTGTGGACTGCAAAAACAGCATAGGTAACACTAAAAGACTGCACCTCTTGGTTCTTGAGTAGCAACAAACTTATTGTGTGAACATTTGATAGCACAATGAAAAGACCATTTTATGGGAATCCCAAAATAACAAGAATAGAGTTTGAAGAAACAATACCAACCTTGTACGCATTAGCATGCAGAGTAAGTGTATGTGCGACTCGTTTATTCTTCTCCAGGTCTGACTGCAGTCGTTCACTTAATTCTTCACAAAGTTCTTTGAGCCATTTTTCAACCTGAAGAAGATACAACAAAACTAGCAGGGATTGATAGACTTCATTACTCAAAAAGATAAGTAAGATGCAGTAAATAAACATCTACTCTTTATACAAGACCATATTCCTAAACATAATTATGCCACAAATTCAGATCTTAAACAAGTGAATGTCAATATTTTAATTGTTTTGTCAGTAGTGACTAACGACCCATGATGGCTAATTGAAGAAATCATTTTTCTACCAATTATGTGGTTGTTATGTCATTCGCAGAAGAATACAATCAGTTGATTCTTGCCAATAATGATGTTGACAACCCTATTCCCTTCCCCACTTAGATCAGTGCTTTAACTTTTCACGGTGATGGTGGACTGGACAGAAAACCACTGTTCAGAAGCCATCATTCATCTATCATATGATAGTTGTTGCTTTCATCCCAATCTCTCTAAACTTTCTCATGATTCATTCTTGTTCTTTCACGATGTTGGAAACTCATGTATCAGTCATTATTTTTAGGGTTATAAGATACGTCAACCCCAAATTAGCGCTTCTTATTCATATTGTTACAGTTATAAACATCTAATTGAGTTTGGGATTACAACCAAGGTGATGAGCATCTCTATTCTCCCTTCAGATGTACATCATCCTCCATGAGAGTCGGCTTTTTTCCTTCAATAAAATTGTTAAAGAACCTCACATTGGTCAGCTTGGCAAATGCCGTAATCAATGTTTAAGCGTATGCAGTACATCATATAAACAATTAGGATGCAAAACTTACTTTTATTGAAGAACAAATAGACTTAATGATCAATAACCCCCCAACTACAGCTATTCTATCTAGGACTGATATCCTTCTAACAATTATCAAGCATGATGAAACGAAATGGTAACTCTGATGGAGGTCAACTAACAGTCACCAATAACGGAAACTCGGAGTGCAATGGCTATAATAAAAAGACTGAAAGCAGTTTGCCATAAGGCATAAACTAAAAAGTATGTTTACTGTCAGTAAAATATGATAAAACCAAAAAGTACCATGATTTGCTCGACTATCATGTATGCTATAAGTTTGAAAATATCATATAACTATGAATAAATAGTGTCAGTAAATTAATGGGAAGGAAATACTTACAGCAGCAAGAGTTTTTAAGGCCCTAGGTCCAGGAAATGTCTTCCCAGAGCCATGGCTCTTAGGGAGCAGGCGACCCTCAACTTCCTCCCCACTGATCCCTCTCGCAACATTCCATAGCCATGTACTGGAAGAGATTTGGAACAAAAAAACTTAATTATAAATTCTTCACGTGTCTGACGTGATGCAGCTCCATGAAAAGTTCCTAGTTTTACATGAGAAAGAAAAAAATATGCTATGTTTGCTAAAAACTGCAAGTTAAAACTACAATAAGCATTATGAAACGTGTCTATTACTAACGATTAACATAATTACCCGGTATTGACACCATAGAAATCTTGTAGTTTTTCCTGAGAGAACTGCAATAGATCCCCAACAGTATTCACACCGAGGTCAATTTGCAAGGAACTCCCAAGCTTCCCACCAAGCTGTTTCCTGATAGTAACATGTTACCCAAGCATCTTAAGTAAAGTGATTCTGTCAAGGTGGAACTGAGCAGACAACAAAAAGCAGGACAGATAGGAGAGCAATGGTAATACATTTCTTATAACAATGATGCATACAATTATAACATATATTAAGAACTACAATTAAAATAATTTGTTCTTATTATGATAATGTATTAACAGTTCATGATACTCCCTCTCTCTCTCTATTTTTTGCCTTATTTTGACTTTAAACATCAAACAAACTACTTCTAATCTCAAATTTTGAATCTAGAAATAGAAGACATCAATCATATATTAGATTACTAACTCACATTTTCTTTATAGGCAAAGGTTCAAGAAGCCCCTTCACTGATGCAAAGGGGACAATAGTTTGTTGTGCAGGCTTATTCATGCCACTTGCTAGTTTAGCCAGCATCTGCAAGATTCACCAGAAACAAGTGCATAACATTGTGTATTTTTCTCTTCTATCGCCAGTCAAAAAAAGATAGTAGCAATACAATTTCTTCATAAGTTAAGAGAAAAGAAAATTAGAAAGACGAAACTACTTTGTTATGGGCAATGCCTGCCGAACATGTAAACTCAGTCTCCCGTAAAACTTGCAACCTGAGTTCAGCAACAATAAAGGCTCCACACGCTAACAACTTGTCACGGTGATCAGCATCTCTCCTCTGCAGCCATTCCCTCACAAGTTCTTTGTCATCATTTCCATTCTGAAAAAAATTCAGTACAGTTACTGTTACAAATCCAAAATAAAATAAACAATACCAGCTCTTTATCAATTAAACTGAAAATTTTGTTCATTGTATCATTACGCGATACCACTGTAAACCAAATATCTCCTATAATACACTGGAAAAACAAAAAGGTGTTATTCACAATAAACTCACAAATAAAATCAAGCCTGGCATCCAAAAAAATTTGAAAATAGGAAAAGGCAAGAGTTGGAGATTAAAGGCTACAACAAAGAAAGAAACCAGTAGCAGCTGGAGGACTAAAAATTGCATGAATATTGTTGATTGACAAATACAACTACGAAATACAGCAACCATACATATAACATTTCAGCATGCAAAACTCCAAGGTGAACCGAAATGTCAACTGAACAGACTTCTGGATATGGTGCATGATAGCTTCAGAAGATTTTCTTTCTCGAGCATGCTTAGACATTTAGCTAATCCTTTTTATCAGACATAAAAACTCAATGGTTACATGTTGTTTGATGCAACTTCACATATAACAAAGCTAACATTCATTTCACATGTAACAACGCTAACATTCATTTCACATGTAACAACGCTAACAAGGGTGGTGCCCGATTGGTTTGAGCTTGGGCTCCAAAGGTCAAAAGTGCCTGGAGGTCCCAGGTTCGAATCCAAGGAGAAATAAAAATCCCCTTGTGGCCATGGAGGTTCAAATGCGGTGACTCCGAGCTACCCGCGAAGCGGGTGGTCGGCCTGGGATTAGTAAGCTCGCATAGCGAGTTGGATATCCAGGTTAATCAAAAAAACATTTGTTTCATAGAGAACCAAAAATTTGACAAAGTAAACTGTCTTACTGAACTAAGCTCCAAAACATGTGATTTGAGAACTTCTTCATTGATACTTTCCAAGCTTTCTAGTGGTGTTTCTTTCAACATTGTTTCAGCAGCATCAGTGAGGTCAAGGTACACTTCATCAATTGATGCACGCTCGCATCGACCCTTTCTCGCAAGAATGGAAACAACCTGCAAAAAATGGAAGTAACTACACCAATCCTACAAGTTGGGCACTCAAAATAGATGCAAAGCTCAAACCCTTTGGAAACTTTTGAATTTTATGAACCTCTGAACCTGCATTCCGATATATGCTTAAGTCAGCTTTACCACGGGCCACAGGAACTTGGACTAGCTGAATTTGCGGACAAACTTTCTTTGCCTCATCACCTCGCATTGAGCTTAATACCGAATGAGACATGAAAAACTAGAATTTAGTATGCAGAAAACTTATAATCCATGTGACAGAATAAAATCTCAAATGTTAAGAATGATTGCTACCGTTTCACCCCATCCTTCCTGGCCTCATAACTGACAGCAATCAGGCCCCCACCTTTCCAAGAGTTGTATTGTACTACAGCAGTTGGTTGACCTCTTAAATGAGGTTGTTTGCGTTGCTCCACTAAAAAAAATAAACAAATCAGAGACGAACCAATATAGATCAACGGATGAATTACCATCAAAGTCTTGCTTGTTTGGTATCCAAATTTTAGCAATCACTATCTCCAAGTCCAACACAATTAGTGGAGGTTCAAGTCTCATGAGAGACATTTCAAGTTTGACCATTTCAGAGAGGAAAAAGTAAGTTGAATTTGACTATGATATGGAGCTAGACAAAAACACATGCTGTAAGCACTCCCTTACAAAAGGTAATTCTAACTATGCATTCTTGGATATTTATATGAGGTTTGATGTTCGCTCTTTTTCTTTTCATCCTCGGCAAAAAGAAAATGCAAGAACACAATTAGTTGGTTGGAAATATGTGAATGTATAGCTGCTTTTACAATATATCCCCCTTGCATAAATAGGTAGTATGACTGGATTTGAACTGGGAGCATTTTGTACCCAAAATAAACACAAGAAAAATGGTCCTCATTATAGAAGCCAAACACACAAATTTTGATTTCATCTTTCTTGATTCATCAGTTTGATCAAACAAAGCTCCCCACTTCTCGGTGTAAAAGAAAGGCAAGGGATCTGAGAAGGTTAGAGGAAGTTCTTCCAACCGTCATAAATGGTGTTTTGGATATTCCACTTGCATTACGGTGTAATATTCCCTTAATTATTTTATTGCTATGACACTAAGGGAACCCCATATTTTCTAGGTTTACTTATTCATGGATTTGCCTTATAATGATTCACATAAAAACACCCCCCTAACAGAAAGTAATTCATGAAGGTCATTACACTTCGGCTGATGATCTAAGATCCGAATATGTCATCCTATCTGGATTTTCCACCAACAGAAACTAAACTAAACAAAACCGAACATGAATAACAGTAGACTTCTTCAATTTCTCAAGCAGGTATATGATATTCCCCGCTTTTCCTTGTTAATCGGAGAACAGATGTTTAATTAAAGTAGCGCATTAGTGGAATCTTGCTTCAGTGAGAGCAGTGATTGATGAAAACCTAACAAGTAACAATCTCGTATATGCACGTACACAACTCCCTTGATTACACATACACACGCAATTGGAGGAAGGAAGAGACCTTGAACGTAAAAGCAATCCATGTCGACGTGAGCAATGATCCTAGAATCAGATGACTCTGGTCGCGCCACCGGCATCTATGTCTCGTTGGCACACGCTTTCCCTCCAATTCAAGCTTCGGAAAGGGCTTTTATAATCGATTGATAAATATGCACAATTCTATTTTAGGTCTTTTTCAAAGCTTATTTTATTTTTAATTCAAAGAAAAATGTAAAATTATCATTTTAATTAATTAAACATTAAGTTTTTGTAATGTATATTTTGTCCCCATAACTTTTTTAGTTTATTTATACACACTTAATTTTTTGTAATATGCATTTTAGTTCCTTAACTTTTTTATTTTACTTAAATACACTTTAGTTTTTGTAATGTATATTTTGGCCCTTTAACTTTTCTATTTTACTTACACACACTTAACTTCTTGTAATGTACATTTTGGCCTCTTAGCTTTTCTATTTTACTTACACACTTAACTTTTCTATTTTACTTACACACACTTAACTTCTTGTGGTACATTTTGGCCCCTTAACTTTTTTATTTTACTTACACACACTTAACTTCTTGTAATAAACATTTTGGCCCCTTAACTTTTCTATTTTACTTACACACACTTAACTTCTTGCAATGTATATTTTGACCCCTTAACTTTTCTATTTTACTTACACACACTTAACTTCTTGCAATNTTTCTATTTTACTTACACACACTTAACTTCTTGCAATGTATATTTTGACCCCTTAACTTTTCTATTTTACTTACACACACTTAACTTCTTGCAATATACATTTTGGCCCCCTTAACTTTTCTATTTTACTTACACACACTTAATTTCTTGCAATGTATATTTTGGCCTTTTAACTTTTCTGTTTTACTTACACATACTTAACTTCTTGCAATGTATATTTTGGCCTCTTAACTTTTCTATTTTACTTACACACACTTAACTTCTTGCAATGTACATTTTGGCCCCTTAACTTTTAAATTTTAAGATATCTTCAAATTTATATTTTATTCAAAAATAAAAACATTATCGTTATTTCTCAAAACCACATAAAACCGTATTATAACATCGACAGAGGGACAGAATAAAACGAAACATTAAAATCAAGATGTATCTCGTTGCATTGTGCGAGTACCCTTCTAGTTATATTATAAAGCATTTGACAAAAACTCTTAAAAATAATTTTTTTATGTATGAAATAATGTTTATTGATGCGTATTACTTAAAATTCAAGATTACAAATAAATTGTGCATAAGTACAACTCATTAAAGCTCTATATTTGAATTTGTGTAACTAATTGTGGATAGACATAATCATATACAGGATAAACATCTCATTTTAAAATATAAAAAATCTAAAATATAATTAGGATAGTTATTAAGTTCTAACATAATACTTAATTATTATCTTTATAAAAAAAAATATTATTAAACATAAATTAAGTTACTTCGTTACGATAAATTATATTATAATAAAAATTTTGAATTAAAAAATACACAAATAAAAAATTTTAAATAGTTAATTTGATATTAATATTAATATATTTTTGGCAAATTTTATATGATAATTTTAAATTTATATTTTATTCAAAAATAAAAACGTTATCGCTTTCTTAAAATCACATAAAATCGTATTATATCGACATGGATAGGAAACAAAATGAAACGTTGAAATGAAAATGTGTCTCGATGCATTGCACGAGTACTCTTCTAGTCTTTAATAAAAATTATATTATTAACCCAAAAATAAATTACTTTGTTATTAGACCTAAATTAAATTATCTATACTATATTATAAATATTTGACAAAAACTCTTAAAAACCATTTTTTATGCATGAAGTACTGTTTATTGATGCATATTATTTAAAATTCAATATTACAAGTAGTTTTGCATAAGTACAACTTATTAAACCTTTATTTTTAAATATGTGTAACTAACTGCAAATAAACATAATCAAATACAAGATAAACATCTATTTTAAATATAGAATCTCTAAAATATAATTAAGATAATCATTGAGTTCTAAGTTTCTAACAGAATGTTTAATTATTATCTTTATAGAAAAATATATTATTAAATCAAAAATAAATTACTTTGTTATTAAATCTAAATTAAATTATAATAAAAAATTGAATTAAAGAAGTTACACTAAAAAACAAAAACTATTAAATAGTTAATTTAATACTAATATCGATTTATTTTTTTCAAACTTTTATGTTATCTTCAAATTTATATTTCATTTAAAAAATAAAAACATTATCGTATTCTCAAAACCGTATAAAATCGTATTATATCGATAGAGACAAAAGAATTCAAACTAAACATTAAAATGAAGATTTATCTCGTTGCATTGCGCGAGTACTCTTCTAGTAATAAAAAAATTGAATTAAAGAATTTTCACCAAAAAAACGAGAACTATTAAATAGTTAATTTAATATTGATATCGATTTTATTTTTTTCAAATTTTTATGCTATTTTCAAATTTATATTTTATTCAAAAATAACAACATTATCGCTTTCTCAAAACCACATAAAATCGTATTATATCAATAGAGACAAAACATTAAGATGGAGATTTATCTCGCTGCATTGCGCGAGTATCCTTCTAATCTTAAATAAAGTACATATCATATATAAAATCTTTATATTGATTTTAAAAAATATAAAATTCACAAAAAAAGATTAGCGTAAAAAAATCTCAAGCTAAGAAAAACAAAAGAAATCGAGATAAATTCACATATATTTTGAGTTACGAATTGAAATATGCGAGAGAAAAAACTGAAAATTAAGTTCGTTTACATAAGATTATTAATTTATAGTCAAACTACAAATAATTACAATGATAGCAAAATAGAAATTATAAATTAATGTTAATTATTAAAACAATTAAGAAAACTATAACTACAACAAAATTAGGTTTATATGACGCCAAAAAATCTAAGCGTCCTAAATACCCATCTTTTTATAAGACGTTCGTTTTTATTTAAGACTTTTTAAATAGTGTCATATAAAATTGGTAATGTGGCGTTTTGTATTATAAGTATTTTAAAAACTTGTTTAGACGTCCTATAAACTTATTTCCATGCATTTACGCTTTATTTCCGGGCATATAAATTAAGTCTTATAAAGTGGCCTATTAAGACGCTCGATTATTTTGGCGTCATATAAACCTAATTTTGTTATAATGATAGTTTTTCTTCATTGTTTGAATAATTAGTGTTTTCTAATCTTAATTTATAATTTATATTTTGTTGTTATTGTAATTATTTGTTGTTGGACTATATATTAATAATCTCAGTTAACCGATTTAATTTTCAATATATTGCTCTCATATTTCAATTCCTAACTCTAAAGATATATGAATTTATTTCGATTTTTTTTCCCTAAATTTGAGATCCATTTGTATTAATCAACAATATTATATTTTGTTAAATTCTTTTTAAGGAGTCACTTATTTTTATCTTATGAACATGTAATGACCGAGAATCTTACACGATAAGCAATGATGATGAATCTTAAATGGTTAGCATTTATCGAGTAAGTTGTGGTAAACGATGTCATTTTGATGAATTAAAATACAACCAGTACTGTAAATGAGATTGCTGATTTTCACCGATAAGTACTTGCTAAGTAAGTGTTTTGATACACGACGCATAATGTCTATTAAAAGAGTCATAATCAAATATATTTTAGGGGTTTGGTTATTTTCTTTGTTCTTATATTTTTTATAGAGTATAGAGAAATAAGTTAAATATCTTGAAAATGTGAACCAATTGAGTTGATTCAGTCAATCTACGCTGAGTGAAATGGTCTATAAGGAACCCCCGAAGAGCTGTTGTCTGATGGGTAAACGAAAGTGATGAAATTGTTTTGACTACAAAGTCATGCCTGTCTATCGGAGTGAATTGGATGTTCGGGTTGAGGGTTGTGTACAAAAGTTGGGCTCCGGTGAGAAAAAAAGTTATGGTAAAAAGCGTAAGAATAGATCTACATCATTTGTGTGGATCAACCATAATTGAATGTCAACACTAATAAGGTGCATCCAGTTGCACCCGATCAATTCCTTTATAAACCTCAATCATAAGTGGGTATGAGATTAAAAGTTCAGATCTTTTTTTATGTTTTTCATCATAACTGTTCTTCTCATACGATCTTTTGCTTTCTGTAAAAATAGTATGATTACCGGTTTAAATATAAATTTCATTTTTTTATAAGCAACTTTAATAACTTATTATTTTCAATTTACAATAAAATTGCATATGATGTTTTATCATACACATGCAATTGTTATTTTTATAAAAATATATTTCGTAAAAAAGAATCATCAGTACATCTTCAACCAATTTTTCAAAAGGAAGAAAATTTGGTTTTAGAGTTTCTATTTATTAAATATTTCAAAAACTTCTTAATTTTTAAGAGAATAAGCGAGAGCGTTTATAAATATACCAGAATGGTATACGTACAATGCAACGAGATTCATTTTGATTTTAATATTTCGTTTTTTTTTCTCAGCCGATGTTATAATATGGTTTTATGTGGTTTTAAAAAAACGATAATGTTTTTATTTTGAATAAAATATAAATACGAAGAGATATCATAAAGAATTGAAAAAATAAATTTTGATATTGGTACCAACCTAACTATTTAAAATTCTCCTTTTTTATGTATTTCCTTAATTTATTTTTTTTATTTTGGTTTAATAATATAATCTATATTATCTTATAAAGCATGTGGCTAAAACTCTTAAAAACTCTTAAACCCGTTCATCCCTAAACGATTTCATTCATATCCGATTTCATCCCATATCTAAATTCGTGTAAATAACTGCAGATAAACACAATCAAATACAGGATAAACATCTCATTTTAAATATAAAAAATCTAAAATATAATTAAGATAATCATTGAGTTCTAACAAAAT